CTTGCCAGACGTGAAGGGAGCCCTGTGTGCAAGCAGGGTACCTGCTTCCTAACTTAGTGACAAAGGACTGTCCTCAGGGTGGCGTTCGGATCACCCCTTGCCCTGCAGAGAAGTCCAGGGGCCCAGGCCCCGGCTGGACCTCTGGGCTGGCGGCCCCCAGGCCGTCCCTGAGCTGGATTCCACTTTTGGCTCTGTGCCCTGAAGTCTTGAAAGGACCAGCATGGGCCTCAGGAGAAGACTGAAATCTAAATAGCCCCGAATAAGGAAGTGGAACAGGGCACACGGGGGCCACTGGAGGCACGGTGTGTTTCCAGTCTCTTGGCCTGGTCGGCTGGTGGACAGAAAGGAGGCGGCTTAGCAAGTCTGCAAGGCTAGGGTTTTTAGGCTGACCTGGGGGTGGGCAGGTGGGCTGGTTTGGGTGATTTTTGTAGTTACTAGCTGTAATTAGGAGTCACGTAAAACCCATCTGACCATTGATAATGAGCCGAAAGGGAACCAGAAGCTGCGTGTGTGGGCTCTGGCCCTGAGCTTCCTAGCTGGGTGACGTCGGGTGGCCCAGCTCCTGTAACAAAGTCCCACGGACGAGGGGGACTTACCATTTGTTCCTCACAGTTCTGAAGGTGGGAAGTCCTAGACCACAGTGCAGGCAGATTCAGTTTCTCCTGGAGCACCTCCCCCGGGCTTGTCGGTGGCCACCTTCAGGCTGTGTCCTTACATGGCCTTTTCTGTTCACCTGCAGAGAGAGAGCGGGCTCTTGGGGGGGGCGGGGTTCTCCTCCTCTAATGGGACACCAGTCCCATCAGATCAGGGCCTCACCCTTATGACCTCATTCAACCTTAATTATTTCCCCAAAGGCCCCATATCCAAATATAGTCACATTGTGGGGTTAGGGTTTCAGCATAGGAATTTGAGGGGATGCAATTCAGGCCATACAAATACTGAAAGATGAGTTGTAAATTAAAAAGCATTGCACAGTTTGGTGCAGTCATTGTGGAAAACAGTATGGAGATTTCCTCAAAAGACTGAAAATAGACTTACCATGTGATCCAGCAATCCTACTCCTGGGCATATATCAAGAGAGAACCCTAATTCAAAAAGACACGTGCACCCCAATATTCATAGCAGCACTATTTACAATAGCCAAGACATGGAAACAGCCTAAATGTCCATTGACAGGTGACTGGATAAAGAAGATGTGGTATATTTCTACAATGGAATACTACTCAGCCATGAAAAATGATAAAACAATGCCATTTGCAACAACATGGATGGCCCTGGAAAATGTCATTCTAAGTGAAGTAAGCCAGAAAGAGAAAGAAAAGTACCATATGAGATCGCTCATATGTCGAATCTAAAAACAAAACAAAACAAATACAAAACAGAAACAGACTCATAGACATAGAATACAGACTTGTGGTTGCCAGATGGAAGTGGGGTGGGAAGGGATAGATTGGGAGTTTGAGATTTGCAGATACTGACTGGTATATATGAAACAGATAAACAAATTCATATTGTACAGCACGGGGAAATATATTCAAGATCTTGTAATAGCTCATGGTGAAAAAGAATATGAAAATGAATATATGTGTGTTCATGTATGACTGAAGCATTGTGCTGTGCACCAGAAATGGACCCAACATTGTAAACTGACTAGACCTCAAGATAAAAAAAAAGAAAGCATTTCACAAATTCTGTTGCTGTTCTCTTGCAAGAGTTGGCTCGGCTTCCAGTTTACAACACAGGGACTCAATTAAGTATGAAGTTTGTTAGCAAGAATAAAGTACAGATTTACAGTTATATTTTCAGAAATCAGCACAAACTCAGAGTTGCCCCTGTGATAATTTCACTCTTAATTTTTCCACTTTTTTGCGTGGAAAAGACAGGGTTGAAATTAAGCTCCTGTCCTGGCGAGTGTGTCCTGAGCGCCTGCGGGCAGTGGGCATAGGCCTGGCAGCGCCCCGGGGTATAAGTTCCTGTCCTCTGCCCCTTCCTGCCTGGGACCTCAGCACAGTGGCTGCTGCCACCTCCAGGCCAGGTCTGCTTTGTCCCCTCTGGGAAGCTATTTTTAACCAGTCACATTTTCTTTTTCTCAAGGATACCTTTTTTCTTATTACAAAAGCAATATACGTTCTTTGCAGAAAAATGAAGAGAAGACAGTGAAAACTCTCATTTTTGTCAGTATCAGGGTCTGATTAAGTCAGAGGTGCTTAGTATTCTGTGCTATAAAGTGGTTTAAAGGGGCACATATATATCTTATTCTGACCCTGACCCTGACTCCCAGCATTATCATAACAGCTCATCCAGTTTTATTAAATCAATACATACCTCTTCTATTTAAAAAAAGAATCAAATGAGATAAACTGATGCCCAGAAAGAACTAATCACTATTAATTTTTAAAACTTTTAATTTGGAATTAATTTCTTTTTTTTTAGTGTTTAACATGCTGACTTTTTTTTGGAGGGAGGAGGTAATTAGATGTTTATTTATTCATTTTTCATGGAGGGACTGGGGATTGAACCTAGGACCTTGTGCATGCTAGGTAATGCACTCTAACCCCTGAGGTATAATTCCCCCCTGGAAATAATTTTTACTTACGGATAAATTACAAAATTAAAAAGGTCCCTTATCCAGAGTCTCCCATTCACAACATTTTAGCTCATTTACCATTCTCATTTATCATTCTTTCTCTCTCTCTGCGTTAAATACACACGTATGTAATTTTTTCTTAACCATTAGAGAGTAACTTATATACATCATTACCCTTTATCCCTAAATCCTTCAGCATCTTATTTCCTAAGAATAGAGATATTCCCTTACGTAACCAGCGTACAGTTATCAACATCAGGAAATGTCACATTGGTTTCACCTGTATTTCAGTTTAGTCAGTTGACCTCCAGTCTAGGGCGAGCTACTGTGTTTTGTGTCCTTGTCTGTTTAGCAACCCTGGATCTGGAACGTTTCCTTAGTCTTTTACGACTTTCCTACCTTGGGGTAATACAGCTCTCCCCCTCTAACAACATTCCATTTTGAGTTTGTCTTACGATTTATGCTCACACTCAGATCGATGCACACTTGATAGTGGGAGCCCCTTCAAGCTGGCTCCTGTGTCCTGTGAGATGCCCCAGCATTTTAAATTTTTTTTGGACTACTTCCTAATTTTCTGAAATAAGATGTTCAGATTCATCTTGTTCTTTTGCGGCTCCGGGACCTGCAGTTTCTCCAGGGAGACCTGGTGTCTCTCAGCGTGGAATGATGTCGAAAGGTGCTTGGTGTGCTCGCGGCTACAGGTAGTGTCTCTGCTTCATGGCCCTTTCAGTGGACAGAGCTAGGAAATACACACACATACACGCAAGTGGACACATGTGTACGCTAACATGCATGCACACTAGGACCTCCAGTTCCAGGGCACCTCTCTGGATCTTTTTCTAACTTCCTCCACTCCTTTCATTTGTACGCCCTTTCTCCGACAGTGGAGCTCTGACTTCTGATGAAATCAACACATTTACTCATTCCTATGATATACCTAAAATATTTATTCTTTTTTTAATCAAGGTATAGTCACTTTACAACGTTGTGTCTTTCTGGTGCACAGCACAATGCTTCAGTCATACATGAACATACATATATTCATTTTCATGTTCTTTTTCACCATGAGCTACTACAAGATATTGAATATAGTTCCCTGTGCCCTACAGTATAAACTTGTTTATCTGTTTTATATATACCTGTCAGTATCTGCAAATCTCAAACTCCCAGTTTATCGCTTCCCACTCCCCTCCCCCCGCCGGCAACCACAAGTCTGTATTCTGTGTCTGTGAGCTGTTTCTGTTTCGTATTTATGTTCTTCTTTTTTTTCCTCTTAGATTCCATATATGAGCAATCTCATGTGGTATTTTTCTTTCTCTTTCTGGCTTTCTTCACTTAGAATGACATTCTCCAGGGCCATCCATGTTGCGGCAAATGGCATTATTTTATCATTTTTCATGGCTGAGTAGTATTCCATTGTATAAATATACCACATCTTCTTTATCCAGTCACCTGTTGATGGATATTTAAGTTGTTTCCATGTCTTGGCAATTATAAATAGTGCTGCTGTGAACACTGGGGTGTCCTTTTGAATTAGGGTTCCCTCTGGATATATGCCAAGGAGTAGGATTGCTGGATCATAGGGTAAGTCTAATTTTAGTCTTTTGAGGAATCTCCACACTGTTTTCCACAGTGGCTGCACCAAACTGCATTCCCACCAGCAGTGTAGGAGGTCTCCCTTTTGTCCACAGCCTCTCCAGCATTTATAAAATAATTTATTCTTGAATAGACTGTACTTATCAAACCTACTTAAAATAATTCAGGGTCATCCCTTCCTGTCCCCACTACTAACTTTTGATAAACATCCTTCCAGATTTCCCTGTATACACCTATCGACAAATAGACACAGTTTTATTAAGTAGTAATCACACTGCACATGCTCTTCCATAACCTGACTTTCCCCTCATTAATGAACGTATTGTTACCATCATTACATAGCATATCATACAACATGTTTTTGCCCACAAAATGAGGTCCAAAGACTAAGTCTGCAGTATAATTCCCCGTTACTGGACTTCGATTTAAAACATCCAGTTTTTCACTATTATGTTTAAAGTTGGCATCAACATATTTGTAACTAAATTTTAATTTTTCCCTTAGGATAGAAGTGGAATTACTGGTCAAATGGTTACGTATATTTATCTGTTTTTCTGAATAGCTCCTTGCTCTAGCCCGCAGGTTTTTCGGAGGGCTGGTTTTTCTAGACCATTGTTTCTCAGCTGTGGCTACACTTTACACTCACTGTGGGCACTTTTTAAAGCAGCGATGCCCAGGGCTCGGTTCTGAGATTCCAGTGACAAGGATGTGGAGTGAGAACAGGATTTGTAGAGAGATTTTTGACACGCAGCCAGTTTGACAGGTGAGAGTGGTTTTCCGTTAATTTAATTACAATTTTCTTCTGAAATTGTTTCAGACGCTCAGATTTGGGAGAAGTGGCCCCAGAATTAAAAGCATCCGAGGGACGAACAGCTGTGGCCATTGCAGGTAAAGCTGGGCTGGGACCCACCTGGAAACAGACTGGTTTCTTCTGTCCCACTAGGATCCTGGATTCCAGTACCACCTGGGCACGTCACGGACCTCAAAAATAAACACACATAAGGCTTTTATTTTTCCTTTTACAACAAGATCCATTTAAGGGTCTCTTGAGCTCCCCTCATCTATTCAAAATAGGATTCAGTTTTAAAAAGGTAATTACCACGCAGTGGCCGGGAACACATCACCCCAGTCTGAGCACGTTGTGGTACCTGCCATCCTGAACATAACTTGGCACTTGGGAGAGTGAAAGGTGTGTTCTCTTGGGACAAAAAGGTGTAAACTGGGATTGTCCCTAGCGTGGACTGGGGCTTGTAGTCTCTTGGTTATGGTCCCCATAAGCTGGTTTCTCCTTCTCTGGGGATTTCAGCGGTAGGGCTGTACCTGCCTCTTGTGACTTCAGCTCTGAGATATGGTGGCCACACTCCAGATATCTTAATTTCTCTTAATAACTCATTCTGAATCTATCTTTCTTTTTTTTTCTCCTTTTTCAGCTTTATTATGTAGAATATAGTTCGACTGCACATACACATTATATTGCATGTAAATACATATCTACAGTATACTGCACTTTTTTTAAGTTTACATACATGTACTAATTATTGTTTCTAAGAACAGATTAGATCTCTAGCTTTTTAAACTCACATAGTTATCAAAGGAATAAAGCCAACCACAAAATAAGAATCAACAGAACGCGGTAACCCAGTCATAAAGGACAGTCAGATGTGCTTACATATATTCAAGAAATCAAAATAATAATTAGTTCATTTGTGTCCTTATAATTATTATATTTTAGATGCCTCATATAAATGATGTCATGTGGCATTTTTAATTAATTGGGTGCTTCTCAAAATGCGTTCTCTTGGGTATTAATAGTGTTATGCAAAATAGCCCCACAAAATATGCAAATAAGTTTGGGTTAATCAAATTTCCTTTTTATTTTATTCATTCAAACAAACATTTATTGACTATTTACCATGTAATGGCCTTGTTATAGGCCCTGAGAATATAGGAAGCAACAGTGAATGCAATGGCCCCAAATCCCAGTCCTCATAACTTAAATTCTAGAAGGTAAGCTCTGTGGGAGTTCATGGCAGGTTGGTCAAGGTTTACAGCAAAGGTGGGATCAAGCAGTAATTGCCCAAAGCCCTTTCTTTTCCCAAGATCTAGAAACGTGCTACTCAATACAGTAGCCACTAGGCACACGATTTAAAATGAAACAAAATGAAAAACTCAGTTGCTCACTCACACTAGCCATATTTCAAATGCTCGGTAGCCAGGCAGCTAGTGGCTGCACGTTGAACGGTGCAGACACGGAGCATTTGCTCCAGCACAAGTTCTGCTACCGGGTGTTGCTTTAGGAAACCAGGAAAGAAAACTTAAGAGTGGGCTGAGGAAAAAGAATGGCCTTCCGGTCTCTTATGAGCTAGGTTGCCCTATTAAGATTTTTACAACAGCCTCATGAGATAGTTATTATTGGTCCTTATTTCACTTGAGGAAACTGAGGCTCAGGGACCTGAGCTCAGGGTCCTTCCCCAAAGTTCCATCTCTGTGCGTCTCTCCAAAAGCGAATAAGCCTTTTGTAATTATTTTTAAATATTTCCTTCCTGACGTATGTGAGTTCCTCTTCAGCATATATTTCATTAAGACTTAAAGCAAGTTCTTCAACCCACAGGATTAAAAAGAAAAGGTTGATTGAAGTGTAATATACAGATGGGAAACCAGCCCATTTTTGAAAGAGAACAAAGGAGACATAAATAAGTAGAAACAGGTACCAAGTTCATGGACTGGAAGACTAGTATTGCTTGTTTTATTGAGATATAATTGATTTACAATATTATATAAATTTCGGGTGTGACAAGAGTGATTCACAATTTTTCAAAGTTATACTCTATTTATAGTTATTACAAAATATTGGCTATATTCTGTGTGCTGTACAATATATCCTTGTAGCTTATTTATTTTATACATGGTAGTTTGTACTCTTAAGCCCCTACCCCTATTTTGTCCCCCCCTTGCAGAAAACTTAACATTGTTAAAATATCAATGTTACCCAAAACATTCTACAGATTCAGTGCGATCCCTATTAAATACCCGATGATATATTTTTTTGCAAAAATATAGAAACCCATTCTAAAATTTATATGGAATCTCAAGGGACAGTGAATAACTAAAACAACGTTGAAAAGGATCTTGGTGATGTTGAACAAGGATGCTCAGACCACTCAGTGGGTAAAGGACAGTGTTTTCAACAAACAGTGCAGGAGACACTGAGTATTCGCATGGAAAAGAATGAGATTGGACTTTTACCTAAAAATATATACAAAAGTTAACTCAAAATCGATCAATGTAATCCTCAATGCAAGACTTAAACTGTGTCTTAGAAGAAAACATTGGACAAAAAGCCTCATGAATTTGGATTTGGCTACAGTGTCTTGGATGCGACCCCAAAGACTCCTGCAAGAAAAGAAAAAATATACAAATTGGACTTCATGAGAATGTACAAATTTTGTTCATCAAAAGACCCTGTCCACAGAGTATAAAGGCATCGCACAGAATAGGAGAAAATATTTGCAAATCATACATTTGATAAGGGATTCATATCAGAATATACAGAGAACTCAAACTCAGCATTGAAAAATAACCTGATACAAAAAAATGGGCAAAGTACTTGAACAGACATTTCTCCAAAGATGACAGACGGATGGACAGAACGCCCTTTAAAAGATGTTCTGCATCGCCAGTGATTAGGGAAATGCAATTTAAAAACCACAGTGAGAGGCGGCCTCACATCCATTAGGATGGCTACTATCAAAATAACAGAGAAGAACAAGTGTTGGCAGGGATGTGGAGGACCTGGAACCCTTGTGCGCTGTTGGTGGGAATGGAAAGTCGTGAAACCACTGTGGAAAACAGTATGGAGCCTCCTCAGAAAATTAAAAATAGAACTACCATATGATCCAGCAATCCCACTTCCGGGTATATACCCAAAGAATCAAAAGCAAGGTCTTAAAGAGGGATTGGTGCACACAGATGCGTAGCGTCATTACTCACAATAACCGACGTGGAAGCAACCCAAGTGTCCATCAACAGATGAATGGATTATCAAAACGTGGTGTATATACATACAGTGGAATAGTAGTCAGACATGCAGCACGTTATGGCGTGGATGAACCTTGAGAACATAACGCTAAGAGAAATAAGCCAGTTATAAAATGGGAAATACTGTATGAGTCCACTCGTGTGGGTTAGAGTGGTCAGTATCAGAAAGTCAAAAAGTATGATGGTGGGGCCAGGGGCTGGGAGAGGGGCGGATGAGGGATTGTTTGATAGGTGCAGAATTTCATATCTACAAGATGAGTAGAATTTTGTGGACAGATGATGGTGATGGCTGTAGAGCCGTGTGAATATATTTAGTACCACTGACCTGTACACTTAAAAATGTTTATGACTGTAAATTTTATGTTATGTGTATTTTAACACAATTTTAAGAAAGGAAAAATCTTGGGTGGGGGGGAAGCATTTTACAGTGAACAGGTCTGTGGCATTTAGTACTTTCCCATTCAGAGTTGATCAATCATCACTTCTTATCTATTCATTTTCAAAAAATGTCTAGTTTCTCCCTACCCTCCCTCCGCCCGGGCCCTATAGGAACCATTAAATCTGTGTTAGATCTTTGTTTATCTATTCTGTTCATTTCCTATAAGCGGAATCATACAATGTGTGCCCTTCTGGCTGAGTTTCTTTGACCTAGCACACTGTTTTGGGGTTCACCCATGTGGTTCCTTTTTAAGGGTGAATAATATTCTCTTGCATGGATGGACAACATTGTGTTTATCCGTTCATCTCTTGAGGAACATTTGGGATTGCTTCCACCTTTTGGCTGTAGTGAGCAGTGATGCTGTGAGCATGCACGTGCATGTACTTGTCTGAGTCCCTGTTTTCAGTGCTTCGGGGTATACACCTCAGAGTGAAATTCCTGAGTCACATGGTAATTCCATGTTTAACTTTTTGAGGAACAGCCAGCCTGTTTTCCCCACCGTTTACAGTCCCACCAGAAACATACAAGGATTCCAATTTTTCCCTATTGTGTCAACATTTGTTATTTTCCATCCTTCTGTTTTTTTTTTTCAAGTCTCCATCCTAGCAGGGGTGCACTGGCATCTCACTGTGGTTTTGATTCGTATCTCACTAGTGACTAGCGATGCTAAGCTTCATTTCATGTGCTTTTTGGCCATTTGTCTATCTTTTGGGGAGAAAAGTCTATCCAAGTCCTCTGCCCATTTTTAATTATTTTTCCTTTTCTGTTGTGAAGTTGTAAGAATTGTTTATGAATGCTGGATACTAGATCCAATCACATATGATTTACAGATATTTTTCCCATTTTGTAGGTTGTCTTTAGCTTTCTTCCTAATGTTCTTTGATGCACACAGAATTGATACTTTGATGAAGTTCAATTTATGTATCTCTTTTGCCTTTGGGGCCTGTGCTTTGGTGTCATACCTAAGAATTCATTGCCAAATTTAAGGTTATGAGGGTTTACCCCATGTCTTCTTCTAAGGGTTTTATGGTTTTAGCTCTTCTGTCTAGGTCTTTGATACATTTTGAGTTAATTTTTGTGTATGGTGTGAGGGAGCAGTTCCACTTCATTCTTTTTGCACGTGGGAATCCATAGCTCATTCTTAACACTAATAGCCCAGAGGAGTCAAACAGTGTCTTAAATGTCCATTTACTGTCCAGTTGCAAATATTTCAAAATTTGGTGAAAAACTCTACAGCGTGAGGACTGGCTACTATAATAATTGAGGGAAAAAAGTCGTTCAGTTTAATGGGTGGGAATGGTTTTAATCGCCCCACGTGGAGTTCATCTCAGTGAACCCACAGTCTGCTCCCTGTGCTCTGTCTGAGCCCCGTGTTCCTAGTGGGTTGGGGC